GCACATGGAACATTTTCAAAGATAAACCACATGATAGGACACAAAACGAGCCTCAACAAATTCAAGAAAATTGAAATCATACCAAGCATTTTCTCTGACCACAAGGGACTGAAATTGGAAACGAACCCCAAAGAAAAAAACTCAAAACACCCAAAATCATGGAGACTGAATGGTATGCTATTAAACAACAAATGGGTCAAGAATGAAATTAGGGAGGAAATAAAAAAATTTCTGGAAACAAATGAAAATGATCTCACAACCCAAAACTTATAGGACACAGCAAAGGCAGTCCTGAGAGGGAAGTTTATAGAAATACAGGCCTACCTAAAGAAGATAGAAACATCTCAAACAAACAACCTAACCCTATGCCTGCAAGAAATTGAGGAACAACAACAAATATAGTGTAGAGCAAGTAGAAGACAGGAAATAACCAAGATCAGGGCAGAATTAAGTGACACAGACACTAGAAGCACAACTCTAAGGATCAATGAATCCAGGAGCTTGTTCTTTGAAAAGATCACCAAAATCAACAAGGCTTTAAGCCAGCTCGTCAAAAAAAATGGATAAGAGAGGACCCAAATAGACACAATCAGAAATGAAAGAAGAGAGATTACACCTGAGACCACAGAAATACAAGGGATTGTAAGCAATTACTAAGAAGAACTATATGCCAAAAAAATTGAAATGTAAGAGAAATGGACAAATCTCTAGAACAACATAATCTTCCAAAACTCAATGAAAAAGAAGCAGAAAGCCTGAACAGACCAACAACAGCTGATGAAATTGAAACAGTAGTCAAAAAGTTTCCAACACAAAAAAGCCCTGGACCAGATGGCTTCACAGGAGAATTCTACTAAGCATTTAAGAGAGAACTAACCCCCACCCTCCACAGATTATTTCAAAAAATTCAAAAAGATGGAAGACTCCCAAACTTTTTATAAAGCCAGCATCATCCTAATTCCAAAACAAAATAAAGACATAACAAAGAAAGAAAACTTCAGGCCAATATCGCTGATGAACATAGTTGTTGAAATCCTCCACAAAATATTGGCAAACCTCATCCAGCAGTATGTTAAAGAGATCATATATCATGATCAAGTGGGATTCATTCCAGGGATGCAAGGATGGTATAATATTCACAAATCAATAAACATAATACACCACATAAATAAATGAACAATAAAAATTACATGATCATATCAATAGAGGCAGAAAAAGCATTTGATAATGTACAACACCCATTTATGTTAAAAACACTCAGCAAAGTAGGAATAGAGGGAGCATTCCTCAACATAGTAAAGGCCATATAAAAGAGACCTATAGCCAACATCTACTCAATGGACAAAAATTTAGAGCTTTCCCACTGAAATCAGGAACAAGACAATGATGCCTACTTTCACCACTCCTATTCAACATAGTACTAGAAGTCATAGCCCCAGCAATAAGACAAGAAAAAGAAATAAAAGGCATCCAAATGGAAAGGAGGAAGTAAAACTGTCATTGTTTGCAGATAACATGATAATGTACATAGAAAACCCTATAGACCCCACCAGAAATCTACTTGACCTAATAAATGAATTTGGCAATACAGTGGGATACAAATTAAATTCTTAGAAATCAAAAGTATTTTTGTACACCAACAATGAAACATCAGAAACAGAAATCAGGGAAAAAAATTCCATTTGTTATAGCAATAAGAAAAATAAAGTACCTAGGAATAACCCTAACCAAGGAGGTAAAAGACCTGTAATCAGAAAACTACACAACACTGAGGAAAGAAATTAAGGAAACCACAAACAAATGGAAGCATGTACCATGCTCATGGATTGGAAGAATTAACATCATCATAGTTGCCATACTGACCAAAGTGGTTTGTAGATTCAAGGCAATTTCTATTAAAGCACCAATGACATATTTTACAGATGTAGAACAAACATTTTAGAAATTTATATGGAACCATAAATGACTCCTAATAGCTGCAACAATTTTGAGAAAGAACAAAGCAGGAGGGATCACAGTACCTGATATCAAACTATATTACAAGGCCACTGTAATCAAAGCAGCCTGGTACTTGCATAAAGACAGGCACATAGACCAATGGAACAGAACAGAGAGCCCAGAAATAAACTCAAGTCTTTTTGGTCACTTAATATTTGACAAAGGGGGAAGAATCATCAAATGGAGCAAAAATAGCCTCTTCAACAAATGGTGTTGGGAGATCTGGACAGCTACATGCAAAAAAAATGAAACTCAATTACAGACTTACACCATACACAAAAATAAAATCAAGGTGGAGAACAGACTTCGGTATAAGTCATGACATTATAAAAGTTCTTGAGAAAAACATCAGCAGGAAAATCTGACATTCCACGCAGCAACATCTTCGCTGATATGTCCCCTAATGCAAATGACATAAAGGAAATCTTAAACAAATGGGACCTCATCAAATTAAAAAGCTTCTGCATGGCTAAAGAAAACAGCATTAAAATAAAATGAGAACCAACTATATAGGAAGACATATTTGCCAATGATACCTCGGACAAGGTTTGATCTCCAAAATATATAAAGAACTCAGATGACTCCATTGGAGGAAGACAAACAATCCAAGTAAAAAATGGGCAAAAGGCCTGAACAGACACTTCTCCACAGAGGACATATAGAGGGCCCAGAGACATATGAAAAGATGCTCAGCATCACTAGCCATCAGAGAGGTGCAAATTAAAAGCACAATGAGAAACCACCTCACATCAGTCAGAATGACCAGCATAAACAAATCAACAAACAAGTGTTGGAGTGGATGTGGAGAAAAGGGAGCCTTAGTGCACTGTTGGTGGGAATGCAGACTGGTGCATAAACTAATTAATAAAATTCTGCAGTGCCACAAATACACACATTTTTTGCTAATCTGACAAAAACAGATATAATTTTGATTCATTCACACTGGATGGCTATTGTTGTGTGTGCTGTTGTCATTTTCTATTTGACAGCCTAAGAGAAAAGAGGTCAGGGCCCCTGACTAAATAGTCAGGTATTGCACATTTTAAAAATTCTTGTGGAGGCACACCTCTTGAAAATCACTGGTTTATATGATACATTTATTTACCATGTCCACTTGCCCGTACTTAGCCAACCAAATTTCCAATATGAGACAAGTTGTTGTTACAATTGCTTATCTCCTTTTCCCCAACTTGTGGATCTGCCTTCTTCTTCCAAGACCGATTTACAGGCCCAATTTCTGCCTTCTCTCCCACTCAGTAAGACTTGCTCCTACATGAGTACTCTGCATTGCTTTTAAGATTTCGGAGGATAAAAAGAGAGTAGTCAATTTAAAAAGTGTTTTCAGGGGAAAAGGGGGAACTTCCCCTGCTGTAGCACCATATTCCACAATTCTGTCTTGTGTATCTAGAAGACTACTGTAGAACAGAAAGTCCACTGCCTATAGGAGGTTCTAACAATTCATCTGTACTGTATCATTAGAGTCTCTTCAAATCCTTGGGTAAGGGCAGCAGGTTTTTCAGGTCAGAAGCTACTCTATACCCTTCACCCTAAACTTCCTGCATTCCCAGAATATTAAGTCACTGAGGCTGGGGAGGATGAGGATACATTGGGAAAATATACCTGATTCAGTACCATGACATGCTTTTCCACTCTGTGTGTATCTCCATTCTAGCTCTAATTAACCTGTCTAGCTCAGTGTGTCTTAAGTTTCCAGAGCACCCACTCCTTAAATAGCTGATTCACATGGCTTTTATGGACCACATCATAGTTCCACACTGATTCTGCTTTTAATGGAAGGCATACTTACTGGGGAGAAATTCTTGTGTGAATTCCAAAGAAGTGTGTTCTTCTGGAAGTCTGATAGGTTATTTCTTTCAAATTCACTTGAATCAGAAGCCTTGAATCAGAAGGCAGCAGTGTGAGCTTTTCATAATCACCTAAGTCTCTTTTTCATCATGAAAGATGGAATGAGGGAGTTGGATTGACAAAGGAAATCACCACTGCTCCAAAGCAAGTCTCTTCAGTCTCCCCCAAATTAAGTATTATCCAATCTTTTTAGCCCCCAACAATGGTTGAAGATGGGGAAAACCACACTACATATGCCAGGAAATAACATCCCTGCTGCCTACTTAGAAGGGGGAGTTACTGCAATATGTCCTGACACTGAATAAGAGGAAGGAAAATGGCTAAAGATCAATTTTTAGCATGATCTCAAGAGTAAAAGATGGGAATGAGAAGTCTTAGGTTGGACTATTCACAATTCCTACAGCAAATGTGGTACTAAATAGTCAGGTATTGCATGTTTTAAAATATGCTACTAACAGCCCTGGCTGATGTAGCTCAGTGGATTGAGCTTGGGACTGAACCAAAGGGTCGCTGGTTCTATTCCTAGTCATGGCACATGCCTGGGTTGTAGGCCAGGTCTCTGGTAGGGGGCACTCGAGAAGCAACCACACATTGATATTTCTCTACCTCTCTTTATCTTTCCCTTCCCCATCTAAAAATAAATAAATAAAATCTTTTAAAAATTTTAAAAAAACACATGGTACTAATGAATTCTTCTCACTTACCTGGTCTGTGAGGGGCAAGCATAAGTTAGGTAAATGCCAGGATTCTTGATCCCAGTAGGCAGTGTTATAGTAACCTCAATTCTTTTGTTAACTTAGAGGCATACAAGTGACATCCCCATCAAAAGACCCAAATAATTTGAAGTGTAAACATTGAGGTACATGAGAAAAGGAGACCTGCATTCATCCATTGGGGATATGAGTGATAAACATACTCTTAGTTAGAAAATAAAATCTTGTGTTAGATGATTTACTGTGATCTGGTTTCCCTCCTCTGCCTCCACTATACCTTGGAGTGTCAGCCTCCATCCCAATCCCAAACAACAGGAAGGTGATGTCCCAGCTATTATTACCCCTCTCTCCCTTAAAAAAAAAAACCAAATCAACAAAATATTCAAGACAGTAGAAGACATAATAAAATCTTTATTTCTCCACACATTAGGAACATTTTAATTACAGTCCAGCTTTGCTGAGGTTCATATCAAGTAGCAAAATGCCAAAAGCACAGAAAAGCAAAGTTGGAGAGAATCCCTGATAATGAGGCACGAAATGAGAGGTTTTACTCAATTACTCCTCTGTACAAGCTGCAGGCCCATGCAGGACCCTGAGAAAAACAATCATTCTGGTATATGCCCTGAAGGAATCCTACTCTGCACTACATCCTCAAGGAATGCCTACAATGGACCACTGAAAAGAGTGGTCCTTGATGAATGATTGCTAGTAAAATCCTAATGAAGAGCTAACTTGTTTGGGGAGAAGTTCTTTTAATAGTTGGGGTTTTCTTTTTAACCAGAGTTTCCCATTGGAATTAAAGACCCCAGCCACACTTATACAGTTATAGGTTCCAAATTAGTTAGACTGTTTCCTGAGGGGTATCCATAAGTGGTAAGTGGTCACATCCTCTGATCAGTCAGAATATATTCTGGTCGGGTTCTGGGCTTTCAGCTCAGCCCAGGGAAAGCTCGGTAACACACCTTAAGCAAATGAACAGAGCTAGAAGATCATAGAGAGCCTAAGGGGCATGGAGATTAAGTTATTCTGTAGGGAGGTGAGACAGCTGACCTGTGTGGGAACTGTAAATTGCATCTCTGAACCTTCTGGATATGTGGTAGCTACCCTTGTGCCCAAACATAGCAGTTGATCATAAAGAAATAAAACCTATTTGGGGGTTGCTCTTCCTTCTGAAAGGTTTACCAGAAAACTCAAGAAAATCTCCTGGTGGGCAGTCACCTATGAGCCTCATCATCTCCAATTACACAATTGCTCTTGGTCACATTAAACCCATTTCCAAATACCCAGAAGATAGAATCAGACAATGCTTTGCCCTTCTTCAGGATCAAAGGATGGCTCCAAGTTCTCAACCCTGCCCTGAGAGTGCTGGTGGCAGCAGACACAGTGGAGGTAGTCCACTATGTTGTGGGTGAAGAGTGAGCGCAGTGGATGCAAGTATTGAAAGAAAAGGAGCATGAAGCCAATGGAAATCAGGTAGGCAATAATAAGCTGCAAGGCAATCAAGGAATGACAGTAATTCAGTAATACTTTCACTCCAAAGAACTTAAAAACCAGGACCATGATGACATTCTCCACCAATCTCACACTATAGTGCAGGCCCATATGTCCCCAGTTCTGACCTTTTTCAACAAGGTCCCTGTCTGCTAACTTCAACTGCAAAGCTGACCAGCAAGAGAAGTTGATGCCAGCATAGAGGACAGTGATGGAAATCAGCACTGTCAGGGTGCCAACCTGGCTGAAATTTTTTTCAATGTTATTAGGCATCTGGGCACCACTCCTCCAAAATTTAACCCAAGGCTCAAAGAGGATAATCAGGAAGTTGAGTAATAAGAAAGGCACGGCCTTCAATTTCAAAGTGGCTGAGAAGAGCACCAGAATCAGGAGACGGGAAGTGATCTCCAGTGTCCTCCAGATGGTGATACAGAGGACTTCTAGCAGCCCAAGGCGAATCTTGTATTCATCGTACTTGATCTGGATAGCCAACATATTGCAGAGAGTAGCCCCATAGGTGACAGATATCAGGGAAAAGACCATTAGCACAGCTGTAAGAAGGGAAAAAAGAAACAAAAAATAGGCATTCGGTCAATGCTGGTGAAGCTTATATTCTGATCCAAACATCCAGAGAGATGATAGGTAAGACTTGAGGGCCCCAGTTAAGAGCAAACTCATGTTATCAACATAGCTATGTAAATAACAGCATGTACAGAAAGAAAATGGAAAAGAATAAACTAAAATATGTATTTTCATAATAGGGATTTATCAATTTTTAAAATCATTTTTCTGTTTCTGTTTTCTAAATTTCCCATGATGAACATATACTGTATCACTTTAATAATCATATAAATGTACACAGTGAACTTTAAAAAAGAGTGGGTCTGAAAACTAGCATTGAGAGGCCACTAACACCAGCACAGTACATATAGAGAGATAGGACAGCACCTATCTGTTGAAACAGGCTTCTGACCAAACAATGAAAAAGGCAGAAAAAAAATGACATTTGAAAAAATCCAGTCTTAAGAGATTCACAAAGAATTCCTTTGTTTACAGATTTTTCCTTGATATGTATCCTCTTCAACAAACTAATCTTGTTTGTGGGCACTTCTTAGAATGTATCAAAATGTATACTGGAAATTTGTCACTCCAATGCTTTGGTATACTTTAGGAATTGCCAAACTTCCAGCAGAATGCTTTAAAATATAAAAACTTCATTTCTTTTGAGCTACGGGGGATCTGAGTCTGGTTTTCCAAGTCCAGATCCAACTCAGAAGGAGCCTTCCTCGCTTGGGAGTTAAGACAAAACTAAGGAGCCTTGCAGAGAAGGTGTTTACAGAATGGCTTCAGGTTCTTCAGATGCTAAATAGGCTTCTCCAGTGTAGTGTTAAGTTTTCCAAGTCTAGAAAAAAAACTGGGCTTGGAAGACTAGACTTGGAAAACTGTAAAAAAAAAAAACTTCATTTCTTTGCCTACAACATCCATACCACTGTATGTTAGAGTAGGGGCCTGAAGAGTTAGAACACTTTCTGACCTGCTATACAAAATCTCAACTATAGATCACACCAAGGTCCTTTACATTTCTTCCTTTATATCAAAGGATACTTGTACCTAAAGAAAGTCTAGTACTCTCAAGGAGAATAAGGGGGCCTGAGGGGTACTTGTCCAAAAAAAAAAAAAAAACCAGCTAGAGTTTTCTGTTTCCATAAAAACGCTACAGCTAGGGAACTAGAGCAGTCAAGATAATCTGCAAGAAAAGTGAAAACATCTCCACAGTCCCAAAAGGATGTGCAGCTTTGTTTTCTACATATTTTTCAACTCTAAGTAGAGTGTTGGAATCTCAAAGACTGCAATGGGAGATTTTCTTAAAATGTCTATTCTGCCCTGGCTGGTGTAGCTCATTGGATTGAGCATGGGCTGCGAACCAAAGGGTTACCAGTTCAATTCCCAGTCATGCCTGAGTTGTGGGCCAGGTCCCAAGTGGGGGCCATGTGAGAGGCAACCATACATGGATGTTTTGCTCCCTCTCTTTCTCCATCCCTTCCCCTCTCTAAAAATAAATAAATAAAATCTTTAAAAAAATGTCTATTCTTAGCTTTAGTTTATATTTTTTCCCATTTTTATTTAGATGTAACTGAAAAATAACACTGTATTAGTTTAAGGTGTGCAACATAATTATTTCATATAGTCTTAGCTTTATAAACCACTCTCAGTTCCATGCTCAAGACTTGATGTTCAAGAGTTAGAATGTCATAGTGTATGTACATCTATCCAAGTGTGATAATGTTTTCCCTTAAATTAGAATTCATTTATTGATAGTAGTTGTAATAAAAGACAGAAAGCCTGATGCTTCCAATAAATGTAAAAATACCTTCCATTTGTCTCCCTACAAATAGATTCATGCCGTGAGAGATCATAATGCTGATGGTAAATTTGGTCATCTATGCTAATCTAGATAACCTCCAACAGAAAAAGGGATTAGGAGAGGGGTAACAAAGAGAAGATAGGAGGAAAGTTAAACCAAAAAAATTTACAAAATATTAAAAAGAGATGGCATTGTCATAAAGTTTTTAATAGGAGAAATCACTGAAAAAATTGAAAACAAGGCCTTGAAAAAGCTTTCTTTACATCCTTTGAATAGTAGTATGATTAGAAACACAGACTCTAAAGGCAGACATCCTGAATTCTAATCCAGTCTTTGCCCCCTATTACCTATGGAACTTTGGGGAATTTGCTTAACTTCTCAGTGCTTCTATTTCCTCATTTGTAAAATGGATACAACAACAACAATTTTCTCATAGAACTGTTGTGAAGACCAAATAAAATAATTAAATTTCCCTAGAGGAATGCCAGGAACATAGTAAATGCTATCTGCTAACTCCTATCATCATCACCATCCCCTGTTTCCAAAAGGGTAGTGGGCACATTTACTTAGCCACTACCTTGACACTTTGGAAATCAGGTGATTTTAAAACTGATAGAACACCTAGAAATAAGCCTTACAAAAATGTGCAAGTCCTATAGCAATATAACTATTCTTTCACACTAATGGCATAGATTGTGGTGAGATTTCATGGAGGTATACTTATCTCCAAATTCTTCAAGTTGTATAAATTAAATGGGTAGGGGTTTTTGTTTGTGCATCATATCTCAATAAAGTGATTTAAAATATTTACTGAATTAAGAGATATATTATCTTCTAACGTGAAATTAATTGATCCTATAAGGATGTAAATTTCCTCCAAAGCAGCCTAAATAATTTAATATAATCCAAATCACAGCCTCAATGAAATGTTATTTCATTTGTCATTACTGTTTACTTTGTTTTTGTTTTTTGGTGGGGGAATAGACAAATTGATTGTGGAAAATCATCTATTTGGAAGATCAGGCTAAATTGCTCTATCAACCCTGGCTGGTGTGGCTCAGTGGCTTGAGCACCAGCCTGCGAACCAAAGAATCACCAGTTTGATTCCCAATCAGCACGCATCCCTGGGTTGCAGGCCAGGTCCCCAGTAGGGAGCGTGAGAGAGGCAACCACACATTGATGTTTCTCTCCCTCTTTTTCTTCCTCCTTTCCTCTTTGTCTAAAAATAAATAAATGAGATCTATAAATACATAAATTGCTCTATCACATGTGATTTGCGAGAGAGCCTTTATAAAAAAGGCACAAGTTCTAAAAGCAATAATTTAAATACATAAAAACCTAATCCCTCAGAATGCCCGAAGATACAGGTATATTATCTTATGCATGCATTGCATGTGTGCCACACATTACATGCATGACATGCACATATATGTTTAAAATGTGTGTATGTACACAAAGAAAAAACGTGACACAAATGTATACATATATACATACTTATTGTCCACAGTAGAGAAAGGATTATTAGGCAGAATAAGTAAATAGCTCCTACAAATAAAAAGATAAAGCCACTAAAAGAGTAAAACATATAAACAAGCAATTTAAAGAACATAATGACCAAACATGAGAAGATGCTCCTCTACATTCATAATAAAAAATGCATTTTCTTTAAAATCAGTTATTTTATATTTACACAATTAAATAATATTTAGTTTAAGATATGAAGAAACAGGCACATTTATATACTGTTGGTGAGAATATAAATTTATACAACCTTTTGGGTGGGTTACTTGGCAGTACTGATAAAATTTTGAACATGCATATCCTTTTACCCAGCAATTCTACTGCTCAGACTTTATCATACAAAGTCTCATTCCAGTACACAGATGTTCACTGGAGCATAGTTTATACTTAGAAATGTTTTGCATGGAAAAAATAGAAACAAACTTTAATCTTACCAATACAAGATTAGGGAATTAAGAAAGAATGGTCCAGTTCATATCAGGGAAATATATATATTTTGTATTTATCATTATTGTTATTATATATGTATGTATATATAAGTAACTGTTGAAGAAAAACATACCAAGGGCTTACCTTTGAAAAAGGCATGTTGCTGAATAGAATGTTTAATAGTCCTTTTTTTGCAAAAATATACATACATATATATGTTGTATGTATGTACACATTTACATAGTAAAATGAAGTCTGGAAGGATATATACTGAATGATTAAAGAAGATTAACTTTGAGAAGTGAAACTACATCTCCTCTTTTATATGTATATATATTCTGTATGGTTATGAATATTTATTAGATTTTTATAATTAAGTAATAAGGATAAAAATAACATTAAAAAGGATCAAAATAATAAAACATGATAATGATAAAAATTCAAACCATATAGAAGGGTATAAAGTACAAAGTAAAAGTTGGCTGACTCATTTCCACTCCCCAGAGGTAAATTGTTTCTTGCATATATTTCTGAAAAGCTTCAAGACTAATAGAACTTCATAAATAATTCTTAGTGGAGAAAAATACAAAAGAGGGAAAGTTTCTTTCTTATATTTATTTGAGACATGGGGCTTTGCCAAGTAGGGTCAGCAATATAATAATAATAAGGAAATGGTCCAAAGTTGTACCCAGAGCTATACCAGTTCCAGCCCAAGCCGGCTAATCCTAAACTATTAAAACTCATTAACAATATCGTATCTTGACTTTGAAAACACTGACTCACATTTCATCTTCTGCTGAAGGTCTTACTCATTTTAGGATCCCTTTTACAAGTGGGAAATTAAAACAGAGATGTCTTTGGTAACTTCCTCTGAAGATCACAGAGAAGGTCAGAACTGGGACTAGGCCTGACGCTCATCAGTATTCAATCCACACCCATTTTAGAAATTTCTCCCCACTAGAATTGGGAAAAGTGATTAAATCACTGGCTCCCAAGTGTGGCTGAGCAGAATCAACAGAGTACATTAAAAAATACAGATTCCTACCCTCCCCAAATTCAGATTGATTCAGGTCTTAGTAGAAAATGCAATTTTAAAAAGGAGCTTCATGATCAGTAATATTTGGGAACCTCTTATTTAAATATAGTCACCCCTAAACCAACCAACCAAGCAAACAAACAGACAGTCAAAAAATCCCCAGTATAATTTAAACACTCTGAGCTAGTAAAAATGTTCTACTGACTACTGGTATTACTAGATTCTTCTGAGAGGGTTTATTACTAGCCTAGAGAGGGTTTATGTATGGCATTTTTAGTCTAAATAACATCCCAGTTAAAGAAATCTGGGAGACTTGAGATGTCTGGATCCCCAAGTTCCTTGACTACCTTCCAGTGCTGTCCAATAGAACTTTCTGTAGTGATGGAAATGTTCTGTAATGTGTGTGCTGTCCAATAAGTGACCACTAGCCACATGTAGCTATTGAACGCTTGAAATATAGCCATTGTGACTGACAGTGTAAATCTTTAATTTTTCATTTTAATAGCCACAGGAAGCTGTTGGCTACTGTATTGGATAGCTCAGGTTTAGATTTCTAAGATGGTTGATTTAAGTGGAGCCCTCCCCCATCTTGACCCCACTCACCTCTACCCAGGGGTACCTCTGCAGAAATCAGGGTCACATAGAGTTGATAGGTCAGTTGGGGCACTGAACCCAGGAAAGCTTGGATCTGTGACATACGTTTGTAAGCATTGCGGTGCATAGCCAGGGTCCGGATGGAGTGTCCCACCTCCCATTCTATCATCACCTCCTCGCCATTTATTAGCATCTTCTTTCGGGTGAGGCTGACATACGGCTCCTCCTGCCCCTCTTTCTTCCACAGTGTGAGGTACTTAATCATGGCCTCCAGACATCTGCAGAAGTAAAGCATCACGGGAACTTAACTAAAGCTATCCTGGGAAGGGAGGTTTTAGTGAATGGAAGAAAATAACTCAGAGAAGTATGCCACTTTTTTGCCATTCCTTCTCTCCCATTATACTCATTTTTTGTGAGTCGAAGAGTTGATCATGCCTTACTTGAGTCTAAATCCATTTTTTTTTTTTTAGGCAATCATCCACCGACCTAAGAACACCATTTCAGAAGCGTTTCTTTAAGGAGTTAAGGAATTGCTTTATCTCCTTAAGAATAAGCCTATGATTTTTTTTAAAAAGTGTCTTAAATGCAAAAATATTAAGAAAACAATGTGTTGTGAGAGAATAATGAAGTTTAAAAAGGCCCTGGTTATTATATAACACCTCAAGTTCCTGAGATAAAGTGTTCCTTATTCAAAGCATTCAGCTCCATAACTGGGGCTTTTGAGTTCTGCTTTTTCAAGACAAAACCCACAACTATGATTATGTATGTCTCAGCCAAAAAGTCTTGAAGAGGATCTGGAAAAAAAAACTCTCATATACATGGAAAAGCCATTGAGCAACAAAGGTTCTTAAAATATTTGATAGCTCAGAAATTAATGTACTATTTACCTAGGGCACCTCAAAAAATCTCTCTCCAGGTTACTTTTGGGGCCTCTTGACCTGTTTGGGGTCAACAGCTTTTAAACTCCACTATTTCTTTACAAAGAGGAAAACATCTTCATAAGAGCCTATGCCCCTTGAATTAGTGATAAGAGCACATTCCCTGCTGTACCCCTCCCATGTCCCCCATATAAATCAGAAGTTATTTGAAGTTCTAGCATGATGAATAGGAGAGAAGCCACTAGAACTTCTTGTTTTGGAACACCTGAATTTGGAACACTTCCTCTATTCACACTGAAATGAGTGGAAACTGTGGACTATTTCTTATAATAAGTAAGAGCAGTTGGGATGAAAATTAAGCCATGTTTCCTGACAGACTGAAAGCATGGAGGGGTGTGGATATTTATCTTGCCCACCACCCTTAACACATAATGGGTATTTGATAAAGGGTTACTTGTTGAGTAAGTGAAAGAGTGAGAAAGAAGAAAAGATTAAAGGGTGAGAAATAATAGGGGGAGAGAATAATAACAGCAGTGGAATTTTTAAAAAATAGACCAAAGACAAGCAGTGATGTATATGCTCTCTAGGCCTTTGGCTCCCAAGAGGAACATGTGCTGGCTGCCATTCTCCATAGGATTCCTTTGAGACTGGTTCTCGTGTGCCAGTTGAAGTGTGTAGTTTGGCACATCCACTTTCTAGGGACAAACTCTAAAAGGCAGGAGAGAAAAAGATGGAAGAAGAGAACAGAGAGGAAAAAAGTAATATTCTATTCCTATTTAGAGAAAATTCCTAAGTGAATTTCCAACAAAAGATTTTAGATTTTAACCCAAGTCCATCAATGCTATTGCTGAATAAAATATTGAAGGAGACAGTGGCATAAGGCATTCTGTTAACGCTTCTCTTCTTAAGGACATTTACTGTTTTAAGTAGGGGTGTTTGCCTTACTTACAAGTTTCAGAGATTTCAACAAGGCCATGTACACAGTCAGTGACAGAAGAAGGGTTAGATACCAGGTCTCCTGAATTCAGGGTCACTGTTTCCGTTGATATCCCATATTTTCTCCGATGGAACCTAATCAACTGCTCCCTGTTTAAACATATACTGTTTAACATTTTTTAAGGGAGAATTCCATCCTTAATGAGTTTCAGACTCTGCCTATCTCTATATAGATATCTTTCCATTGCAATTACAACATCAGCACTCTGACCCATTTTCTTCAGCTGACTGTAGGTTTCTGCCTCTCTTGCAATCAAAACAAACTTGGTCCATTCCTTTCTCCTGACCTCATAAGTGTTGCAATGTCTCCCTATATGGAAAATCCCATGGTGTCCAGATGTGACTGCTGACACAGATGCCTGTCTCCCTGGGATAAGGCACATTCTTATACCATCAATGCAACCTGAATGGAAGGACTCGATGCTGTTATTTTGTGCTACAGCATCCAAATGGAATATCTTTCTTTGGTCCCTTCTAACCATGTACCTTTACTTCAGAAAGACACAAAGAGATACACAAGACACCAATGAACTGACAGAAAAAAATGAACGACAGTGGGTTGGGGGTTACCACAGATGTCTTAAAATATTTTCAAATGTCTCCAGGAAATTTTTAAATGCAAGCCGCATAAGCCCAAGCAGTTCAGGGTAAAGAAACTGAATGTGAGAAGGCATGGAGTGGGAAAGAAACTTTCTTTCAATTTACAGAGCATCTAAAAGGCAGAGTCAAAATAACACACTCTTGAAGCTAAGTATGGCCTATGTGAAAAAGGTGACCACATCAGTTGGTCCCATGCCAATTTTCATGATGCAAATCCAGATAGAAAACATTGTCTAATGAAGTCTTATCAATGGTAGCATACACACATTTGGAATTCAGGTACATGGCACATGTTCATTGTGGTGGCATTTCAGATTTCATATAAGATTTTTTCAGATGGTAGGCAGGGAAGCCAAGAGTGGGAGAGAATGAGAGAATCACTCAGAGGCACAGTATCAGTCTTGTAAATATTAGCTTCATCTTTCTCTGTACAAGTTCAGGAACGGAGTGAGACAGGGAGAGGACAGGAGAGGAGATGAAAATTTACTCACCTAATAACAGGTCCCAAGAGGATTAGATGCATGAATAATGATAAAGGCTTGTCTTTGGCCAGATCTCTGTGGACAAAAATGAGTGTCAATTGGACCATAATGGATGAAAACATAAAGAAGGAAAAGGTGTATGCCATCCAGTAGGTCTCACTATTCTTTCGATAGAATCTAACCATGTACAAGGCAGATGCAGCCTCCCCACAGTACAAAAAGGTGGAGAAAATGATGCCAAATGGAAAGGTAAACCGGGGGTTGGCCCCACGGATAATATCTTCCTCCAGGGATGAAATCGGATCCACACTTGGCTCCTCAGGAATTTCATAAACTCGTTCCATTGTCGAGTTTCTGTAGTTTTGGTCTGGTCTTCAGAGAACCTTCTCCCCACCTTCTAAGAGAAACCTGTAGTCACTGCAGTCCAAATACTGGTTAGGAACCTTTCAAGGCTAATTCCAAGTGGAGATATACTAGTTAAAGAAAGAAAAGCCTCTCTTCTACTCTCAAATTAGACTTGTTGGAGTCTGGGATGGAGAGCCCAGGAGTACCACTTTGAACTTGATTCTTGATTGGCTCAGGATTCCAATCATCAATATACGTGCTGTAAAACTTGGACAAGACAGAAGCAAGCATTTTAGCACCCCATCCAAAGTCCAGTTCCAGGCATTTGAAGGACCATGGAGACCACTGTTTCCCTGCGGACAACTCCTTAGTCTTCCAGACGAAAGGATAGCCACTCGACGATCGTGCACCAGTTCTCAGCAACTCTTCTCCAGAAGACCTGACTTACGTGCCCTTTCAAATTAGCTGAGAACTGAGCATGGGTAGTAGAGGGGGCACAACCTGAATGGTTCAATATCTAGGTGGCACAGCTATTGCTTGCCTGTGGCCACCAGCTCGCTGCCTGGCCAGGTACTCTCTCAAGACCCACTCTCAAAGGAGGGTTCTCAGGAACATTCCTCCGGTTCCACAAGCTCCACCCCCAAGAAAGCTTGACCGGAGAAGTAAAGCAACAACCGTATCCCTGAGCGCAGTCTTTGGAGAAAAAAACTGAACCTGTGCACTACAGGATTAGTATAGCGCCTGATACAGCGAAAGATGGAGGGGTTTCTTTCCCATGAAGAAACTTTACTTGTGAGAAGCACGATGCATGGGGGCGCCAACCTGATCGGGCAGATGTCGCTGAATTTGAGTGCAGTCTGCTGCCGGGGTCCTAGTTCAGCTGTGAGAGGATGGTAGCTTTGGGAACTGAGGCACTGAAGACAGGGGCTGGCGAAATGGGAGGGACAACTGGGTCTCCGCGAAGTTAGCCTGTGAGTTCCAGCGCGGGATTTTGAATGTGGAGGGGTAGACAAAAAAAGGCTTGGGCCAATCTTCAGAAGCACTTCTCACCACAACTCCCAGACCCAGAGGGAGCCACGGCTATCCTCTTCCCCGAAAACAGCAGGCAACCACTTCTACCCCGCCCTCCAGAATTAGCTTGCTCCCACACCCGCTCAGCCCACGCAGTTAGGCAGGTGTGTCTCCAGGCCTCAGGGTAGAGCCTCCCTAGGTCCTATTGCCCTCCAGATAATACCGTGGTGGGGTTGGGAGAAGACCTAGGAGGCGATTGGCCCTATTGGCCCTATGAAGGAAAGGGAAGATAGAAAAAGCTGGGGGGGGGTGTCAAGACTCAAGGTTAGCCCACAGACAGTGAAAGCTCATATTATATGCCTTGATTTCTCCACTTGCAAAATGAGGCCAGGATAGGAACTTTTGAATGAACTTACAGGTCTTTGGCTGGAAAGTTCTGAAGAGGTGCCAAATTCTAAATACACTAGAGAGGAGCCAAGAGAGCTGTTAATAGAAACTAAGAGGGGTGTCTTAAAGAGTTCTGAAAATTGCCTGGATTCTTAAGAGCAATACTACCCTATCTCACTGAGCTTTTGTTTTCATGTCTTCATTTGCATAATTCTAAACCCCAGAGAAAAAAGAAAACGTTTGCATCCTGGTAGTAAAATAAATGTAGCAGAGCCTGTGCCAATCTCCTTTTGCTGCAGGAAATTAGTGAAGACAGTCTATGTGAGGAGTAGCCAAGTAGCAGCCACCGAAATGATGAAAGACAGTCTTGTCGTGTTGGTTTTGCCCCTGGGCTGACTCAGAGACAGATCAACTTCTAAAGTTGTTGTCCTTGAAACAGTCACCCCATCTTGGTCTGCACCTGTGCTACCAGCTGGGCTAGCAGGCTGATCTTTCCTCTTTTCTGTTTCACAAGGCAGTTCAACACTGAGAACATCTCAGACATGGCATTGATTGGTTGGGACTTTCCAACTAGCATAAGTTTCTCCACCAACAGTATATGATGCAGAACCTCTTAGGGGCTTCTTAGGATCCTGTTCTCAAGATGGAACCCAACTAAGGTGACAAACTCATCTCAGTTTGCTGAGATAAGATGAGTTGTTCACCCTAACACTGGAGACTGAAGCTAAGAAGAATGTAGAATCCCAATGTTTTTCCTTTGCCTTTTCTCCTTCCCTGTACCCTCATCACTCTCCAAATATATAAATCTACAAGGCCTCCCTACTTTGTTCCAAAACCACTCCTTTTGTCTACCATTCAAGACTCTATGATTACCACACTAGTATCTCCCACCCCAACTGTATTGCCCACATTACCTTTGCTCCAGTCCATCAGGTTTTCTCACTTAATCATACTTGCCTTGCTCACTCCCATCTCTGTACCTTGTTGAGGCAATTTATGGCACCCTTCATTCTTTCTCTATAGTCCAAACCCTAATCTTCCCTTAAGGGTCAACTCAAGTATAGGCATACCTCATTTTGTTGTCCTTCACTTTATTGTGCTTCACAGATCTTGTTGGCTTTTTTTTTTTTAATAAATTGAAGGCAAGATCCTCCACCAGCAAAAAGATTATGACTCACTGTACTGTGGTGGTCTGGAATTGAACCAGCAATAGCTCTGAGGTATCCCTGTAATACCTCCTCCAGAAAGCCTTCTCTCACCTCCCTCACCCTCACTTTTCCCTTTGATTTTGTGCTACTGGTACATGCTCTCTTGTCCTAATCCTTCAACAACTTCTGTGTTTGCCTTGCCTCCCCAGCAGAAGTGTAGCGCCAGGGAGGAATGCACAATTAATATTTATTGTAGTTCTTGTTGGTAACAACAGTGATTGGCAAATGGTAATGATGATGAAGCTTCCTCCCCCATGCTTCCTCCAGGAAACCATGCAAGACTCAGGCACACCCATCTCTAAAAGCTGTAATCACTATAATGAGGACACAAAGTTCCTTGGGACACCCATTGTCTCAGTCAGTCATTCAGCTTACAGAGAATGCCAGCCCACATGAGCTGTGCCTTCTCAAAGTTCCTACAATGCATTTTTGTCAATACCACAATTCAGCACCTTATTGTCAATTATTTCAAGTGTATCCATTTTCACTCTACAACTAAATTACCATATGCTCCTTGAAGGCAGAGCCCCTGCTGTTATACTTTTTCAGGATTCCCCCATGGCTGGTATAGACCTGTAAATTCCCTGACATCTGATACCCCACACCCACCACCTTCTCTATTTTCAGCCCCAGGACTCTCTGGCGCTCTAGGTCACTAAATCCTCTGGTCTCTTATTTCCCTGTTCCTTTTGCCCTGCTGGGAGAAACTGAGAATGTTGATTGTAGTCCCTGTTGATAACAATAGTAATTGACAAATGGTAATGATGATGAAGCTTGCTCTGTGCTGTCCAACTCTCTTTCCTCTTTCAGACAATCTCCAGACTTCAGTCCTTTACTCTTCTTAGAACTACAAATGGGGAAAATGTTGACAGTCAGGAGGCTGCCAAGGCCCTGGGAACTCCTTCCCCATTAAGAGCACTGATCGCCCAGGGATTGGTCAACTGAGGTGATACCCTTAGGCTGCCTGTTCCCTGAATGCTAGGTAGTGTTTGTGGTCAATTTACTCTTCTTCTTGAAGAATTACAGTTCTGCAGGAAAAGGTAACCCAAGATTTGACTCCTTACCCACCCCTACCTCCAACTCTTAACTCAGCGGGAACAGAAAATGAGACTGAAAGCTCTCAGTATCTTTATAAGCATTCAGACATCCTCTGAATGATATAAGAGTTGGGGATAGGTTTGAGCTTTCAAAGCCACTGCAACCAAAGCTGACTTGTAAGGGTTACCTGGCATCCCTAAGTGAAGAGGAAAGAAAAAAGAGAGAGATGTGCAGCAAGTAGCTGATAGTCCAGTCACAGAACACTAGTTGGTGGAAGGTGATATGCAAGGACCAGAGAATCAGTAGCTAGTATGGAAGAATAGCTTTCTTCTATAGAATGATCAGTTTGGATTGTTAACCTAAAAGATACCTGATGCAAAATCATTCACTGTTTCCTCTGGGCCTTCTCTTTTCCCTAGAAGCTCCCTGAAGACCAAGATTTTTGCTGATTCTGTTCTAAGCCACTCCCTTATCAGTATCCTCCATAGGTGGCATCTGGGCTTGGAGTCGAAATGCCAGTAAGTTCCCTGCAGCTCTCACCCCTAGCATTTTTATTTTTTAAAATCAGTTAAAATGACTATCTCATCATGGAAGGGAAAGAAATACTACAGCAAAATGCAGAATGGAATTTGGGGATGAAGGATTTGCCAGGCACTTGGCAAGCTCTCCTTACCTTGCCTGGTGGAGAGAAGGAATGGAAGAGAGTTGGTGATGGATATGATTAATTCTTTATATAATGCCTGTGTTGAGATAAATTCACATAACCACACAATTTACCCATTTAAATTGTACAATTCAGTGGTTTTAGTACAAAGTTGTGAGCCATTACCACTATCTAGTTTCAGAATATTTTCATCACCCCCAAAATAATCCCAGTGCCCATTAAACTCCCCCCATTCTCCCTTCCCCTTAGCCTAGACAAATCACTAATCTACTTTTTATCTCTATGGGTTTTTCTATTCTGGACATTTCATGTAAATGGAATCATACAATATATGGCCTTTTGTGTTTCTGGTTTCTTTTGCTTGTCATAATGTTGTTGAAATTATCCATGTTGTAACATGTACCAGTACTTCATTTCTTTATATGGTGAATTATATTCCATTGTATGGATATACCACATTATGTTTATCCATTAATCTGTTCATGGATGTGAGGGTTTGTACTAGACAAGGTTCTTTAGAGAAACAGAATGAAGACGGGAAGGGAGAGAGAGATTTTAAGCAATTAGTTCACACAGTTGATACAGGTAATTGCCAGTGCTAGTAACCTAGCCCCATCCCCAGAGTGCAAGCAGAAGCAGAGAGGAGGGGCCCCTAGGGCAGTTCCAAGTTGGCCGGGTAACCAGGCTAGCACTGCATGTGAGGACATATGCTCCCAGCCTCCCAGGCAAGATGCAGCAGGAGGAAGTAATTGCACTCAGCATGCTCCAGGCCAGCAAGGGTGACTGGCTAAGCAGGAAAAAGCCCTCCTACTCCCTACTGATCTGATGAAGGCCTATCGGTCTAGCCTGGGAAAAGACAGGATTGATTGGGGAGGGGTGGACTCTTCTGAAACACAAGAAAGTTTGAGCATCTGGCATGGCTCATAGGGGTAACATATAAACCAAGGGAAGAAAAGGAGGTGTTCTCTTGGACCCACTGCATGGATATGTAGGCTGGTGCTTCATGGGACTCAGGCTTTGGAAGCCATGTGGCTTATGGTGGTACTTGCCCCATGCAGGGGTCCCCAGAAAAGAGCCTAAAACTGGACTTCAACCTGGAACAAGCCACCTGGATGATCATGCAGCATCCACCTGCAATTCCTGAAGGACAGTATTTTTTAAATGGGAGAAGGAACTCTGGGTGCAGCCTTGGACTGGTCCGGCAGAGGGTGGCTGAGTGTTCCTCTGGGTGTTCTGGAGGGGATGGGCTTTGAACTAGGTGCCTGCAATCCCGCCAAGTTGTGCAGCTTTTCAATAAAAGATCTCTTTTTTTCTCACCAAAACTATGCCTTCAGAATTTGCCTGAGCGTGATGGCAGGCAGACAAACCCCACTTTCATTTGGTAGCACAAATGCCTCCCAATGTGGGGAACTAGCTCTCTGCCAGGCTAACTCCTAGAGTGGGACCATGGAGATTTCCCAGTCTCCAGGAATTCCCTGCACTCACACCCAAGGCACACTTGAAATGCCTGGCTGGTGGAAGGAAATAGGTCTGGGAAGGAGGCAGGCTCTGGGAAGGAGGTTGGGTGAGGATCACCCAAGTTTGGGGGAGGGGCACTGTTCAGGAACCATTATTTGCAGTACCAATTGAAAGATGACTTTCTTCTGAGCATTCTTTAGAATAATGGAGTGTGGAATCAAGTTTCATTTATATGTTCCCAGCTTGCCTGGGGTCCCATCATGGTTATAGTTATGGGCCTGTATGTTCTGGCCATCAGGGACTATTCTGTTTCAGCTCCTGGAGGGAGCCCACTGGGCCAAAGT